ACTCCTAACATTCTGTGATTCTGTGTGAAGTCATCAGAGCTCCCCACCTGAAACTTCCCCTTGGCTGTGTTTTCGGTTCTGCCTTTGCCCCTAGCACAGGCACCCCCAAGAAAGGAGAAGAGAAACTGTGGGGTGATGGGAGGTGCCAGGGGGGCATCTAGGGAGGAGCAGTGGGTAGGGACATTGTGGGGATGAGCCCACAGTGTCATTGTGGGATAGCCCCTCTGGCCTCTCCATTGTCCCTCCAGCGCTGGACACTGGTGACAATGGGGACAGAGCAGGGGGATGGCCCCCGCCCTTCCTGTTTTCATGCCCAGGGGTGCACTTGAGGAGGGGGGAGGGCTTCCACACTAAAGATGGTGAGAAGAAAAGGGAAGTGCCAGGCTGTATCCCAGACCCAGGCCCCCTCCTGGGGGCATTTATGGGAGAGTTGGAGATCCCCAGCACTGTAGGGTGCAAGGAAGCAGAGAGGCAGCTCCCAGGCCCCATGGCATGGATGGAGCTCCAGGCAAATGAGGAGACTGTTGATCCACCATAGCCCGCTGGAATTGGCCTTGGGGTGACAGGGCTATGGTCCCATCCCTGTCCCATCTTGGGGATCCTGCTTGGCCAAGTGCCACCACTCCAAGGGTTCAATGACTCTCGGTGGGAAACAGTCCAATCCAGGCCCCACAGCTCATCTCTCCCCTTGGGGACCATCTCACTACAGCTGCTCCAGCCCATCCACTTCCCACACCTCAAGAGGAGGTCCTGGAGGACCCATTTCCTCCTGCATTGTGTGCACCCATTCCCAGACATGGGCTGGGCAGGGACTGTTCATCACCTCCTCCCCTGGAGCACCTCTTCCCCAGGATCAAGCCAGTGGTGCTGAGGGTTCAGGGGATATCACCAGCTCTCCTCCCTCTTGCCTCCCAGAGCTGCCTATGGGCACAGTCTTTGCCTGCACCCATGGCACAAACCAGCTCCTACTGGTTTGCACATCACCAGCTTCTATGTGTGGCCCCTTCTATGTGTGGCCCATCACTGTGGCCTGGCTGCAGGACAGCCAGGAGGTGACAAACAAGCATGAGCCCAGTGCACAACTTGGGGACATAGGGAGCCCAGGTATGCAGCCAAGCTCCCTGAGGGAAGGGCATCTATGTTGGGGCAAACCCACCTGGTTAAGCAGGCAGGACGGAGCAGATGGAAATGTCTGTGCTATGCAGGGCCAGACATGCCAGGCATGAGTGGCAGCAAGGGACATTCCCATCAGGGACAGTGGCCCATGGCCAGGTGGCTCCTCCACTTGCAGTGGGGGTAGAAAAGAGAGATTGGGTCATCCACACGGACCTGTTTCTCAAGGTACTGCCACAGCCCTGAGAGATGCCTCCTGCAGCCAGTGGGATGGCCTCACTCCCACCCAGATTCCCCCAGCACTGACAGCCATATTCAGGGTACCCCAGACCAGCCCACCCCAAGCAGGAACGTCAGAGCCCTCCCCAAAACCTCAGTGCCAGCCCCATTGGCTGTCAGGGCTACTAGTACCAGTGGAGCTGCCCAGGCAGAGCCATCCTGAGGGGAAGTGTGCAGCCACATCTCTTGCAGCCCTTTTGTCCTGCTGCTGCACCCACTACTGGACGTGTAGGGCCTCTCTGCTGGCACCATGCAGCTCCCTCACCGCTGCCTCCTACTCCTTTTCCTCTGCCTCCTCTTCTCTGGGACATGGGCAGACCTGGAGGGTAAGTGGGAGCTCTGGCTCATCCACATCTGCTCCCATGCTTCTATTGGACCCTACAGGTGAGGGGGCTTACTGCTCCCCACCCTCCTCAGGCACTTGCTTCCTCACCCCTCCTTGTCCCCTGGCTCCATACCTCCTCCCTAGCAGATGTGCAGCTACCCCAACTGGGTGCAGTGAGTGGGAGCTGGTGCTGCCAAGAATACAAGGGGCTTATGGGGGGCCTGCAGGTCCCTGCAACCCTGAGGACCCATATCTCAGCCCCTCCACTTTCCCCAGCCCTCTTCTCCCACTCCCATCTCTGCCTGTTGGCTGCTGTTTCATTTAGAGACCATCACTATCCGGCTACTCCAGACCTCCATCTTCCAAAACACCTCCTTTGTGGACACGGAAGGGGTGGGCCTGCTGAATGACATTGAGCTTGGTTCTCTTGATAAACATACCTGGACCATCCGCTTCTACCAGCCCTGGGTGCGCCCAGCCCTGCCCCGTGGTGACTGGGACACCATTGAGAACATGATCAAGATCTATTTGCATGAGTTCAACCACCTGATCAGTGAAGGTGCCATGCAGAAGGATGTGCCCTGTGAGTACCCAATCTTTTCTGCGTCCGCTTTCTGAACAGCATCTGGGAAGTGGGGAAGGACCTGGTAGTGCTGGTGCTGCACAGGAGATGCTGAGCATGTTCACAGGAAGTCAGTCCCAGCCCCTCTTGCAACCTATCCCTCCTCTCTGCTCCTCCAGACCCCTTCGTGGCCCAATGCATGGCAGGCTGCGAGCTCTACTCCAACAGAACCTCCCGTGCCTTCGGCTATGTGGCCTACAATGGCCAGGACTTCCTCAACTTTGACATGGGCAGTGCCTCCTGGCAACTGTCCCAAGACACCAACCTGTCACGGTATGTCCAGGCCATCCTCCAAAACTATACCACTCTCACTGAGCTGGTGGAAGTCCTCTTCAATGATACCTGTGTCAGCGACATGGAGATGTTACTGCACTACGGGAAGGCAGCTCTGGAGAGACAAGGTGAGATCACCCCGACTCTAGCACAACCACCCCAAAGGCCCCTCACACACTGGGGTCAAGCAGTGACCCACCAGACACTGCCCCTACCCCTTGCCTCTTGCCCCCAGAGCCACCCGTGGCCACGGTCTTCGCCCGCACACCCAGCCCAGCCCAGCTCCTGCTGGTTTGCCGCGTCACCGGCTTCTACCCGCGGCCCATCAGCGTGGCCTGGCTGCGGGATGGCCAGGAGGTGCCACCGGGCCCAGTGCTCAACACCAGCGCTGTTCTGCCCAACGCTGACCTCACCTACCAGCTCCGCAGCATCCTGGCCGTGGCACCTGATGATGGGCACAGCTACGCCTGCCGTGTGCGCCACCGCAGCCTGGGCACCCGCAGCCTCCTCATCCCGTGGGGTAGGTGGCACCCATGAAGACAGGGATAGGGCTTCTGAGCCATCCTACCCCGCAGGAAAGCTCATGGCAGCCTCTGCTTGTGTTTCTCAGGGAACTCGGAAGTAGTGCTGATTGCTGGGCTTGGGGCTGGGCTCCTGGCAGCCGTGGCC